TTTTTTCATTGCTTTTCCATGTAGTATAATTTCCTATTAATTATATAAACCTCTTCTCTTGCCTGCAGAGCCACAGTCATCTGGAATTGCAGATTCCTGAAGCACTCGTGCTAAAGAGAGGATATATTTTGTTAGCACTTTAGAAAGGCTGAGTTCAGACTGCACTATCAGCTATGAGATTGCTCTTGAGCACTCTGTGAGCCTCTCCACTTTTCTCTCTGTATTCAAGGTCTCACATTTTAATTTAAGAATTAGTTTATCCACTGATCTTCAGTAAATCATTTTTCTTCAAGTATCCATCCAAGAAAGGGTACATAGGATATAAAAACTTTGATATCTTCATATTTAATGGCCAGATATTTTCTTTCAAAACTTTTGAAATAGTCCTCTTCTGACTTCCAACTGTAGCCCAAAATGCCAAGATTGTTCAGATTCTCAGTCTTTTTGGGTGAAACCCACCCTGCCACGCCTGCCTTTGTCTCCAATGTCATAAGACTGTACTTTGGTGTAGTTTATTTTGAGCCATCAACAAAGCATCCAGATTTGTTAGGTTATTCTTTTCTGGAAAATTTACTTGCAATATTTCTTAAAATAATTTTTTCTCCTCATTTGGGAATTCCTTTTATTAGAAACTTTACTTTGTGAACTTATAATTTTCTAATTTTTTTCTTATCTTTTCCACTTTTTTATTATTCTCTTTTGGAGGGATTTCTCTAATTTTTTTCTTATACTGTGGTTCAGTTTTTAATACATACCATTATATTTTACATTTTTCTGTTATTTTATTTTTTGAAACTGTAAAATTTATTGTTAACTATATGTTTGTGCTTGCATTTGTGTGGGGGTATATGCACATGAGTGCAGGTGACCATGGAGACCAGAAGAGGGCATCAGATCCCCTGGAGCTGGAGACTGAGCTGCCCAATGTTTAAGTGCTGGAAATTGAACTTGGGTTGTCTTCAGGAGCAGTACATGTTCTCAAACATTGAGCCATCTCTTCAGCCTCATATTTTTTTTTGAAAATCTAAAAATGATTATTGTATTTTTTAAGATGCTAGGGATGCAACACTTGGCTTCACACTTTCTTGGTAAGTGGTCCACCACTGAACTCTATCCTCAACTCTTTTTTTATTATTTGCTTATTTATTGATTTAAAGTTTTGTCCTTTTTATCACTCCACATTTACTTACACAATAATTTATCCTAAATTGGCTCATAGATATTTGGATAGTACTCATTGTATATTTTAGATTATAATAGAAAGTTTTTCTTTCTATTGTATATGGCCATTTTATTTTTTAAAATTATTTACTACTTTTATTTTATGTGTATAAGTGTATTGCTTGCATGTATATGTATGTAAGTGTGCCCATGTAATGAAATACCCTTGGAGATCAGAAGTCATTGGATCCCCTGGAACTGGAGTTACAGATGGTTGTTAGCTGCCACATGAGTGCTGAGAATCAAACCTGGGTCCTCTGCAAGAGCAGCCAGTGCTCTTAACCACTGAGTCATCTCTCTAGCCCTTGCATATGGCCATTTTCATGCAAGTATATAATGAATGTACCTTGAGAATTTTTACCCTCTTCTTTCCTTTCCTCTCCTCTTCCATTAGTCTCCTATGTTTCTCTAGGCAGTTTGTTTCTACTTTCGTGGTATTATGTACACATATTTTATGTATCTGTACACAACCTACAGCCCACAAATGAGAAAAAAACATAAACTCTCTAATTCTTGGACTGACCTAATTTCTTCCAGTTGCATTCATTTTCTTGCAAATTACATCTCTCTTTTTTTATGGCTGAAAAACTCCATTGTATAATAGACCACATTTTCTTTACCTATTCTTCTGTTGTTGGACACCTAATGGTTCCACAGCTTAGCTACTGTGAATAGTGCTGTAATAAACATGGATGTGCAAATATCTCTGTGATATGCTGATTTGGAGTCTACTATGAAAACTGTACTTTTAACCATAAAATGCTGGAGAAAATGGGCATATAAATCATCTTTGGCAGATATTATCTTTCACACTTAAAGTTGGCAGGCATTCTGTGATGAAGGGGTATAGACAGGTGGTATCATGCATACTGAAGGGAAAACTGTGGTATGGGCAGTCCATGGTCCTCGTGAACAGGCTGTGCTCAGGGTTCCTGCAGGCAGACTCAGCCCAGGCAGGCTCACTTACCTTGCAAAGTGTGTTGGGAAAAATCTATGTATTTCTTTAAAGTCAATTTGTGTGAATTCACTGAAGAGCTTTGAACTCATTTCTGGAAGTTTTAGTTTGGATTGCTTGCAGAGAGCCAGGTAGAGGAGGGGATGAGGAAGCAAGAATGAGTTTTATCTTCAGTCTGCTATTTTCTATTTGTGTTGCTGCTCTCGCCTCTCCTAGAGCTCTTTATTTCAGCTTTCCTCCAGATATATCTCTGTCCTTATTTTGAGAGAGAGAGAGAGAAAGAGCAAATAGGGGATTAAAGTTCTAACTTCTTGTCCTTTTGCTCTAATTTCAATCTAGTACTATCCAGCATCACCAAGTCCCAAGACTTGGTGTAATAAGTGACTTCTCAGCCTTTCTGCCACCATCTTGGACCCAGTGCTCTTCAGCCACTGTGTCAGTAACCTCTCATTCATGTCCAGGTTCCAAATTTTTGTTACTGCCATCTATTCTCTTTTTTTGTTTTGTTTTTATGATTCTATATCCTAAAAATTCTCTTACTATGTTTTAGTAGGATTTCAAAAAACAAGTATGTTCAGTCAAACATCTTTGGTCCCCAATTGACTTTTTACATATATGAACCCATGTTTATGATCTTTCCAGTGTAATCTGGCAGTATGATTTTTTTTAAAAGTTGATTTAAATGGATTACTTACTTACTTAGTTTTCTATTTTTAACAAATATCAGAGAATGCATCCATTTTGGCTCAGGTTTGGAGGCTTCAGTCCACCATCAGTTGGCCTGATTACTTTTGGGCAGAGCAAGCTGCTTACATCATTGTGGCCCAGAAGGAAAAGGACAGAAAGAGGTGAGACACCACTATTTCCCCTCAAGGATAGTGCCCCCCATAGCCTCCCTCCACTGAATTTCATGCATTCTGTCATATATGTTAAGTCTTATTTGGTCAAGCATTTGTACCTAGATGTCCCTTGGTTCATCTACTGGAGTCTAGTACAATGTATTACTTTTAAACTTGCATCTTAGTATGGAATTTTTATGGAGTTGGGACCATTTATTTCATTAAAAATTAAAAAAATATTTTATTATTTTTATTTTATGGGTATGCATGTTATGCCCATGTGTGTGTTAAGTGCACCTGTGTTGTGCAGTACCCACAGAGGTCAGAAGAGGGTTTCAGATCCCTTGGAACTGGAGTTGCGGATGGTTGTTAGCTGCCATGTGAGTGCTGGGAATCAAATCCAGGTCCTCTGCAAGAGCAGCCAGTGCTCTTAACCACTGAGCCATCTCTCCAGTCTGGGACAATTTATTTATGCTACCTGTTTTTTTTTTTTTTTAAACTGTAGGCCAACTTCTCTTGTAAAATAAAGATGGTGACTCATCTTTTGTCTGCCACAGGTAGGCTCAGTCAAGGACTATGTTGACAACCTTCAAAGTCCTCCAGTCTGTTTAAAGAATGTGAACTTGGAGAATATGTCTCCATAGTTAGCCTGCTGTGCTTATTACCTTTCGGCATTAGGAGGAGCCTCTTGGTGTGTTTGTCTTCTGTTTCTGTTAAACCATAGTGAGTTCTGGGTAAGTCTTAGCAGTTCACAAGTCACATTTGTGCTGATTTTCCTGTTCATTGGCTGAAGCTCTTCCACTGTCATGGTTCTGCCTTTTCCCTGCATTTCTACCCCACCTAGAATATAGACAGCACCATCTGGAGATGGAACCTAATTATGTTGTGTCATTTTGTTGCTACTTGTTTTAGACAGTGCTACCCCGACTTCCCTACTTCCTCCTCCCTGCCTCCATTTCACTAAATTGTGATGGTTTACAAGATGAAATTCATGCATTGTATCTCTTTGTAAGCCCTCCCCAACACACACACACACACACACACACACACACACACACGAGCTGCACACAAAGACACTCAGAGTAGACTGTCAGTGGAGCCATGGCTATGACAGCTCTACCATTTATCTTGGCCTCCTGTTTTGAAAG